TTTTTTTCCCCCAAAGCCCCAGTAGATAGTTGTATGTCATAGTTGCACATCCTTCTAGTTGCTGTATGTGGGACTCGGCCTCAGCATGGCCGGAGAAGCAGTGCCTCGGTGCGCGCCCAGGATCCGAACCCGGGCCGCCAGCAGTGGAGCCCGCACACTTAACCGCTAAGCCACGGGGCCGGCCCTTAAAATTCATTTAATGAACATTTATTGAGCATCTAAATTGTGCCAGGCACTAAGCAGGATTTTACAGATGAGAAAATAGTCTTAGAGAGGTTAAGTAACTTGCCCACAATCCTACAACTTGTAAGAGGTTATGAAGTACTGAGATGTATTATCAACTGGGCTTGTAGCATGTTCTCTGTCAGAGATACTTATCTCTTTGGAATGGTTCTGATACAGTTGGAATGATTGTTATACAGTTGGAATGATTCTATAGGAATGATTCTAAATGAAATGTGATAGTTTCACTTCTTCATCAGCTGAAATCCTCTTACCTATTTAATCACTCAGATTTTCTTCAAGGTTCGGCTTATACATCACTTAAATCCATAAAACCTTTTCCAGAAAATCTCTATAGAATCTATAGATTCTATAGAAGTCAGATAAAATGACTTGAAAAATTCCATTCTGATTGGTTTTAAGGGCCCATGATTCTTTAAACTGTGTTTCCTTTTTGTTGTGGATGATCTTGACCCATTTCTGCTGTTTCTTCTTCTAACATTTACTTAGAACTAATTCCACCCAGTTTACATGGTAAGATTAAGGTTGGCTGATATTTAGAGAAACATAGATAGATCTCTGATTAGAGCCCTGCATTTTTGTTATTAGTTATATGTTTACTTGTTGTGCTGTCAACTAACTCTGATCACCTCTCTGTGAAGTTACTCATACTTTGTCTGAATCTTTTCAAACAATCAAATGTCCCCTCCCTGAACAAAACCCTTCCAAGGCTTCCCATGGCACTTGGAATAAAATTCAAATGTCCTAATAGTGCCTCTGAGGTCTTGCATGGTTTGTTCTTACCTGCCTCTCCAAGCTCATCTTGTCCCTATCTCAACTCTTGCTGGGCTAAAGCCTCCAGAGTTTTCTTTCAGTCCCTGTAATATATCCAGGTCTTTGCTGCCTTAGGACTTTGGTACACATTTTTCCTTTTTCTTAGAATTCTCTTTGACTCTACTTTTCATGTGATGGACATACTTTTTCTTCAGGTGTCAGATTTAACATAACTTTCTCAGAGAATCCTTTTTAAGACCATCCAATCTAATGTAGGTCTCCCTTGTTATTTTTCTCTCATAGCCTGTTGCCCTTTTCTTTAATAGCATTTTGCACACTTAAAAACATTTATACATATTTGTTTCCTTTTAACTACATCTCTCCACTAGATTGTAAGCTCTATGAGGGCAAGGACTATGTCTACTTATACCTCTGCCATTTACCTAGTGTCTAGCTCAATGCTGGTACTGAATAAAAGTTTTTAAATGAATATTGAGACCTCAAAATTGCCAAGCACTTTATAACCTGCAAAGAGTTTTCACATATATTCTTAATTGATCCTTATAGTCACTTGCTGAGATATTTCAGGCAGGGTAGATATTACTGTTTTTATTTTATAGAAGGTAAGACTCAAAAAGTTTAACTGACTTGGCCAAGTTCACACAGCTGGTGGGGCTTGCGTGGGAAGTCAGGTCTTTTGATCGTTTAGACCAGTGCTCTTTCTACCAAAATGAGACAGTAATGGGAAATCTGTGTGGATACAGAGCACCCAAATATAGTGTGCCTGGGAACGAATCTCACAGTCCTGATGCTTAGACCTACTTATCTTTCATTTTCATTTATGCTATCCATGATTATTGACTAAATTTTCCATAGTGAGATAGCAGAAAAATAGGTCCTTGTTGATTTATAAATACAAAAGCTAAGCTTAAGTCACTGATTGAACTGAATGGAGGTAGAATGCGTCTTATTTTAGAAACCTGGTCTTACTTCTGTAGGGTAGGAATGAATATATTGCTCACCTCAAGGACCAGTTGCAAGAGATGAAGGCAAAAACCAACATGGAGAATCGCTATATGAAGAGAAACACTGAGCTGCAGATTTCCCAGACACAGAAAAAATGTAACAAAACAGAGGAGCTCTTGCTGGAAGAGATTGAGGTAATCGCTGCCACCGAAGGAGTGAACCAGGTAGATGGTGTGGGAGCTGTCACTCCTGATGCTGCCTCAGCTGACAGAGGAGGGAGAGGAGACTTTCCTGATCTTCACCCTCTCTCTCCAGCAGCCCTAGCATTTGAGGTTAAAAATAAAAATGGAATGAGGGCTTGCGTTATTTCCAAGCAGAGATTTTGATGGGCCTGTTTTTCTGTAATGACTGAAAATTGGTTGTACTTTCTTCCCTTGGTCACTTTGTCCTTATTTTATGAACCACCGCCATTTCTCCTGGGGAGAAGGCAAAACAAGATACTTAGTAAGTGCAGGTTTTTGCTGTGGCTTTCCTCACCCACTGGTACCTTTTATCCCTCTGTTAAGAAATGCAAAATCTAGAGAGCTGAATTCATTCAGACCTAAATTTATAGAGATGAGAAGTCACAGTGAAAAATATCAGGAGAAAGACAGAAGGGGTAGACCCTCCTTAGAGCAAGAAGGCTAAGTGGCTAAAAGAACCATAGGTGGGCGAGGAGCAAACATCAGTAGAGGGTGTCACGTGTGCGAGACGAGCCCTTTCTCTGAGCCCCTGCTTTGGAAGCTTGCGCCCCAGGTGTAGCTGAAGATTGACAGCAGACTTTTTTCTTGCGCTCTGAAATTTCCTTTTCTGGGCCTAAGAACCTGGTTCCCTTGAAGCATTGTTTCTCTCCTTAAATTGACATCGCTTTCCAGGCAACAGGATGATGGTCGTTTTTTCTGGGCACTTGCGTGTATCTAGCACAGTGCCAGACACACGGCTCAGCAATGTTTGTCAAAGGGAACTGACTTGCTGCTCTGGAGCAACACTGTGGAATTCTTGGGGTCCCAGCTGGTAAAGAAAGCCTGTGCTTCTGTCGCTGCTGCACTTCTAATCGGGGGACCTTCTCATTGCCAACCCTGCTGGCAAGAGTTCCTGACATTGCTTTATTGTTCTCACAGAAACTAAGGTCGAAAACTGAAGAGGAGAACCGGATTCATATGGCGATTGAACTGTTCCTTAGAAAGGAGCAGCAGGTGGGTCACCAAAACTTTTTTATCCTCTGACGTGTTTGTGTTCCACTTATAAAATACTAAGGACAGCAACAAATTTTTTTAAGCAAAGGAAAATCAACCGTAATTCTACCAGCCTAATGAATGAGCTATAGCCCATGTTTTCTTTCCAAGTTATCCATCTGAATAAATATTTTATAAAGCTGTAATTTGAGTACAAGTAAAATTTTGTCTTCTGCCTGTATCATTTAGCATTATATAAAAAACTTTTCTTTTCTTTTTTTTTTTTT